ATTTTATTAAAAAATGTATTAATTTTGATTAATAAAGGTATATTTTATAAAATCAATACTAGTATTTTTTTTTTGTGATGACTGTTCTGTTATAATTGCGCATTTCTTTGTTTGTAATATGACTGTTTTGTTCTACTTTACACAATATTTAACATTGATATTTATTTTAATTTTCCTTGAAATACAATGAAATAAGAAACAATCTGATAAGAAAATATTCTTAAGAAAGAAAATTTCACATTTCAATCTTGAATTAAATATTTTTATATTTTAAATAAAAATCATGGATTAAAAAATGTATTTTGTACAGAAAAAGAAAACATTAACAAAGAAATTTGTCATATAAATTGTCAGAATTTATTTATTAATTTAAATATTTAATTTATTATATAATTTGTTAATTTATTCACAAATCTATTCAAAAAAAATAAAATCAATTTCAAAAAAAATCTATTCAAATATCTATTTAATGTACAATATAGAGTTAATTCTATAATTCTAATTATAATCATCAATCTTTAATTATCAAATTTAAAAATTATCACATTGAAATCAAAATAAGATCATCTATATAATTGAAACATAGTTAAAAATTTGATTTTAATTAATTCGAGTATTAAATAAAATATTTGTAAGAAATAATTTATAGAATAGATAATCTTTTCATAAAAAGTCATGAAAAATCAGAAGATCATTTCAGATTTCAGGGATTTACCCGTTCCCGTGCGCAGACTCATACTTATGTATGTGTAATTCATTTGAACGAATATTTGTGCATACATAGTTCATCAATTGTATATAAACCGCATTGAGCTGTCGTTCAGTCGTCACTTCTCAGTCTATTTTCGAATAGTTTGAACATCTCATTGAAATTTAATATATATTTAGAATACATATTTTACAATGAAGATCTATTTTATTGTCGCCCTTCTATTCATGGCTATGGCTGCCATGGCTGCACCTGTTGGTGGGTAAACATTTTATTTATTAAAATATTTTGTATAATTTTACATTTCTGTAAATATTATAAAATTGTATTGATTAATTCCATTTTATAATATTTTATTGCATCAATTTATGTTTCTTCACGAATTTTAATAAAAAAATTCTTTTTTGACAATTTTTTTAATGAAACTTACTTCGAATTAATATGATAAATATTATTTAACGAATAACATGTTGTTCTTTAAAAATAATTTTATATATTCGTAAAAATCACTTACTTCAATGCAATAATTTAATATTACTGGATATTTAAAAAATAATTAACAAATTTTATATATATATATATATAAAGAGATAAATTTTCATTTATCTGATACTATTATTTTTATGTTTTAATATTCCATTGTTAATGTATCTTTTATTATTTCATTGCTAATTTATTCGTAAATTACACATTTTATTATACATATATTATACAAAATTTTTTTTTGTTCAAATTTTAGAGGATGAATTCGAGCCACTTGAGCATCCTGAGACCGAAGGACGTTCTGATAGACATAGAAGAGTAACTTGTGACCTTCTCTCGTTCAAAGGACAGATTAACGACAGTGCTTGTGCTGCTAACTGTATCACTTTGGGTAAAGCTGGAGGTCATTGCAAGGACGGAGTTTGTATTTGTCGAAAGTATGTAATTTCTCGAATTTAAGTTTAGAATTAAATTTTTTGAATTTAACTAAATCTTGAATACTTTTATGATTCTATTTAATATAATATTATCGATTGAAAATTTTCATGAATAAGTGAATAATTCTCTGATAATATTATTTAAATATGTTCAAAGTTTATTTGCTTATTTATATTACTCGATTAGAAATTGGAATTAATTTCCTTCGACATTTTTTATTATTTATCGAATTTAGAATGATTTTATAAAGAAAAATTTTATATTATTACTCCTTTTTCAGAACTACTTTCAAGAATCTTTGGGACAAACGTTTCGGTTAAATATCATTATAAAGATTCAACGATGAAATTTTTTAATAAAAAATATGAAAATGCGAAATGATTATAAAATGAAAAATAAAATAAATATTTGATAAAATTCGCTTATGTTAACATAATATAATAATTGAAAAATGATATATCATCGTTGATAATTCGATGGACTTTAATTTGCTTATTTAATAAATAACATAAGTAAATTATCTTTTGGTTTAGTTTCTTTAAAGTATTATCTTTTGAATAAATAAATCTTTTAAAAAAATATATAAGTTTTTCATTAATTTATACCATATTTTTTTATATAAATAAATTAAATAATAAAAAATAAATTTTTTTTGTAAATATATATTAATTATATATTAATTTATTAATATTATTTTATTAATATTCATACATTCATTAATTTAATAATTAAATTGTTAAATGCATAAATTGATAATAAAAATTTAAAAATTAATACATTATTGATTATTATTATCATCAATTATAACGAAAAATCATTTATGTTGATGGAATTGACTGTCAACGCCATCTCTTAAAAATTCATGACACTTTTTCAAAGGAGAGGTAAAGTAGAATAAAAATTGAAAACTAGTGCCATCTTTCGATTATTTTTAGAAATATATTTTACCTTATATTTGAAGAAATGTCATTATTTCTCAAGAGATGGCATTATTGATCAATTCTTACACTATTTATATCATTTTTTTTTTATTTACGAGTTTCATTTGCGGCACTCTGGAGATGGCGCTGATTTCCTAATTTTTACTTTATCTCTGTCCTTTTCTCACTATTTACTCTCCTTGTCTATGCTTCGAAAAATTTATACGCTCAAGAGATTGACTTCTATATCTGATTAACTTTATTGTTTCCTTTGTATAAAAATCTATTCTTCGATTAAAAATCTGAATAGATAAATAAATTAATATTAATATAATAATATATAGTTATGAATCAAAACACGTATTTGTAATTAATTCTTTCATATATATACAAAGAATCCATGTAATATATTATTATAACTTTATTTATTTTCATATGTATTTTATACATTTTTAATTCTATATACTCCATGCACATTATTTTACATTTAACTACACTATTATTACATTTTTTATTTTACTCTATTTTATTTATTTTATATATATATATATATATATACATACATATATGGGACATTCATTATACCATATTATGTAAAATATAGAATCTACCAAGAATGCAACGTAACGATACAGGAGCACGAGTTATCTATGATAATAACTACCATTCAATAACCGGTTCCACTGATGCATTATCATACGACATATACTCTATTATTAATATGGAGCCTGATGTTTCTCTGGGTTTGATTCACACGCTTCCGCCTGATTTTTTCCCCGTTGTTACATTACATTAACGATTATCGCGTGATAGGGGAGAAAATCATCGAGCATACGATAATCGAGTCAGTCTAGCAATCCGATAATTAAATGGCTCTCGTCAGTCAACTCTGACGTTTCAATCGTGAATTTTATCGTGAACCATCACATGTTACAAAATATAATATTCTTATCGTGCAACCCGCCTAAATTTGATCCGATAATTTTCATTTTCCAATGAAAGAAGAAGAAAAAAAAAAAAAGAAGAGAAAGTGGAGAAAGCAGAAAAGCGACTGGTTGAAGCTTCGCGCAGTCTTTTCTCGACGCTTCTTCTTTATTAATAAACATAAAAAAAAAAAAAGTTTTGCCCTACCCTTTTGCGAAGTTTGTCGACGAAGCAGAGTTCGACGCAGCGAACCCCAACGCGTACACGGATGGACGACTTTGTACTTACATGCGATGGAGACCCTAAAAATACACGCAACGACTAAAAATAATCCTCGATCGGTGCTAAATACATTCGTTTCGAAGAAGCTCGCCATTCGAAGGAAGAATTTTAGATGTGGACGAAATTCAGAAACATGGAAAACAAATTTTGTATTATTATTACATTTCTCTCGTGTTATTATTTCGTTATATATATATATATATATGCATAAAAGAAATTTTACTCGATAGTTTGATAATTCGTTATTTATTATCTAATTTATTAAGACAAAGTTTCTTTCAATATTTTTTCCTTAAAATTAATTCTATTTTGACCCTTTGATTATGCCCGTCTACCGTTATAATAAATAATTCACGTTCAGAAATTAAATCTTTCTTTCATGAATTCTTTGCAACGCAAATTTTTAAAATGAAAAGCTTCCCAAGATTGTGAAGAAATTTTATTTTAATATAAAATAGAATTATTTCAGTTATTATAAAAATGAGAAAAAATAAATTAATCAAATGTTTAATTATAAATTGTAATATCATATAAATTCAATTTTTTCAAGATGAATTGAAAAATATATACACATCATGCACATCAATTATATACTGTTATAAAAATAAAACACTTTTTAATCCACTATAAAGATTACTACACAAATAGAAAATTATTAATCTCCATCATAAATATTCTATACGTAGAAATCCTTTCTTAAATCCTTTTCCCTCGAAAATTTCGATAAATCATAGCTCTTTCCTCAAAGTTATCAAAATTCAACTCTGTAATAAACCTCTAACCAATAACTCGTGCATCAACTTTTACATCGTTTTCCTCGATTCTCCAAAGATATCTTACGAACATATATATATATATATAAATATCACAGCGATTTTTCACTTCGAAAAAAACTTCGCAATTAAATCGCAATTAAAAATTGCAACGCATCTTCTTCTCGACACACGCCATTTTTCCTCTCTCCTAACCTCTAACCACGACCTGTCACCGTTCAAACTTTCCAGGAAACTTGAAAGCAATCTGGCAAGGGGTCGAGGGCACGCACAGCAACGAGGGGTGGCCTCAGGGTGGGGGCGACGCAATTAGGAGAGAACATAAATCCCGCAGTTTAGCACACTTCCTCGCATCGCCGGTAGATCGGAGAATACAAATCAATCGTCGTAACGGCCGACTGCGCATTTAATTTCCATTCGGCTTCTGATCCGCGCGGACGGGGTGGTTAACGTGGAACAGGACAAATAGGACGAGCAGAGCAGGCGGAGGAGAGATTGTACGAATGGATGAAAGAAGAGGGTTGAGAAGAGCTCACGGTATGTGATGATAGAAGGAGGAGGAGGAGGAGGAGAGGGAAAAAAAAACGATGGAAAAGTGGGTTAAGGGGGAAGGATGGGAGAGTAATTTGCGAACATCGAAGCAAAGGAGATTTAGGACACGGAGAATGGACGATTGGACGTTCTGGGATGGAATGGAAAAACACAGAGGACAGGAAACGTGGGATGGTGATGGTATTAGATTGAATCTGGAGGTGGAATTGAGAGAGAGAGAGATGTGGGAAGAAAATTTTTGTGGTGACAAATGAAATATAGTTGCTTGGAAATAGAGAATTTGGTAAAATGGGCAAGATTCAAAATGTGTGACTGGAAAGTGGATTTGGAAAGTGTGAAAGTATTTGCATATTAATATATTTATTATTACTGTATTTAATAAAAAGACAGATAATGCAAATATTTTTTGTGATTACTGTGTTTAAATGAGAATTTCCTTTAAATTATTATAATTAAAGTTTATTACTGATTCTTATTGACAATTCTCTTAAGTCTTTGATATTTATTACTTTATTATATCAGTAGATTATTTATCCTTTTAATATAAATGTTTTGAAAATTCTATATAATTAGTATGCAATTCTACTATTCATTCTATCAATTTATAAGAGAAAAACATTTGAATTTTACATTGAGGAATGCTTAATAAGCTATAATACATTAATTTATTTTCTTCACAATAAAATAATACATACAATTTATTCAAATTATATTCAATTAGCTTCAATTTTGATATGCGACAATCATGATTAACAACAATATATTCAATTACTAAATTCGAAATAGATTTGTACACAGTTTATATAAAATTAAGCATTTCATGTGACAAGCTAACCTAAAAATCGATTTTAACAAAAATTAGTTCCATTCACATTAAATTAAATACATAAAATGAAAGGAAAAAAAGAAAAAGAATAAATTTCCGGAATAAATTGACAGAGGGAAAGGAAAGAGGAGAAATAGAATGGTGAAAAACGAGGACACGACGAATGGAAAAGAAAATTCTCGTTGGAATGTTGAAGATTCTCTTCAGTCTATTTCCATTCGAACGTAGGCGTTTCCCCTCCCTTCGTTGTAAACGGATCCTGGGATCGATGAATGACACCGGCGTAAAAAGGATTTACCGCGTTCCGCGACGAATCGACGGTGATCCGATTCGCATTAAGCCCGCGACGTGCACGCCGGATCGAATTTGTACGCGTCGTTACGCGCTCACGTCGCCTCCTCCTGGAAAATGAGCACATTCCGATAATTGCGCTTTCGGTGCATTGTTTACCCCGTGCAATAACGATCGACGTGACTCTTTCCTCAACGCCCGTTCACGCTAATAAGCTTTGTAATCGTTGTTGTCCGATCGCGGAGATAACGCGCGTAAATGCGCTGCCAGGCCCGATTTTATAAAAGAATTATGCTTACGAATCGTGATTCTACTCTTTGTTGGATATAAAATAGAATTTTTATCTTTATTTTTTAGAATTGAGATAATTGGAAATGATAAAAATAGTGGAAAACGAAGAATTGAAATGTTTTTCGTTGCAAGGAGCAAAGCGAGGAGATTAGAGGTTAGGAACTAGAAAAGATTAAGTTAAGTTAATTAGATTAGATTGATTTCTAAAATATTCTTAATATTTTCTTATAAAGATTTTGATTCTTGAGATTATTTTCAAATTCTTGAATTGAAAAACATTTAAAACAACTTTGATTGAATTGAGAATTTTGAGATCTTCGAGAACTTAAACCTTCGAGTCCACAAGTGTAGTAATAAATTTTTAAATACAAATTTCACTTATGCCACATATAAGAAACCAAACATTCCAACTAGAACATTATTTCAAAAAATAAGTGAGGCCGAACAAATTTTTACGCGAAGAAACAAGAATCTTCCGAATGCCTGGTTCAAGTAATGATGCTCGAGGAGACATAGGTTAGT